GGCACCGGCAGCAGGTGCGAGTGGCGGCTCTGGCGCCAGCTGCAGTGCGAGCAGGGCCAGTGCCGGCAGTGGATGCAAGCAGCAGCTGCTGGCCCAGACTGCCCCTCAGGAGCAGGGGGAGGTGGAGAAGCCCTGAGGGGCTATCGGGCCGGCAAATGTCACTCACACCCCCTGATAGCGCCAAGCGATTGGGGCCAGCGCCAGGTGCTGGCAGCGGGTACAAGCAGTGGCTCCAGCGCCGACAGCAGGTGCAAGCGCCCTGTGGGACCACAGCACACAGGAGCAAAGAATTTTCAGTAACCACCAGAGGCTCTCCCCAATGACAGTGACTGGCGCCCTGCCTTGTTCTGGCACCCCCACTCACCTGCTCTACCATCCCACTGTGGCTGACACCCACCATGTTATGTTCTGCATGCGCCCCTTGGTGGTCAGCGCACATCATAGCGACTGATTATTCGGTTGTTCTGCCATTCGGTCTATTTGCATATTAGGGTTTTATATATATAGATTATAAAAATTTTGTTGGTCATATTTTTAAACTGGTTTGTGAAAAGTTGCTCAAACCTCAACTCTGTTGGTATTTATTGGATATTTCCATTCTCTTAAATCCCGATGTGTTTGGTCCTGTTGCAGCTTGTCTGATATTATCAGACTTACCTCTCAGTTGGCAAGATCTTTGGTCTCCAGAGTGAGTGCTCATGTTGAGGGTTTGGAGGAGGGTGGGGGGTGGGCAAAATGATCCAAGAGTTTGGGCAGAAAATATGAGAATTTCTGCTGATATGCTTTTATCTACAGATAAGAAAAAAAAGCTGTATAAATATTTAACTATGTTTTGACAGTAGTTCATGTATAAATGTATACATTAACATACATTCATTGGGGGTACACATTCAAATTTTTTTTACCAACAGCAGTTCTCAATTAAAAAAGTATGGAAGCCACTAGTTTAGAATACCATGTTAGTATAAGTTTTTGGAAGGCAGAGATCATGGCTAATACTTTTTGGTATTCCTCAGTGGGCCTAGTATAGTGATCAAAAGACATAAATCAGTGATTGATAATTGTTTGCTTGATTAATGAGGTCAAAGATCACAGGTGCTGTTCACTTAAGTTTTCCCTGAAACCATGACTTCAACTGGTTGTACGTCTGGGCTGTCTGTAGTGCATCACAACATCACTTTACAAACACTCATGAGGAAAACAACTCAAAATGGAAGATTCACCGACAGAGGGTCAGTAGGATTTTTTTTAATTTTTTAAATATATATTTTATTGATTTTTTACAGAGAGGA